AAAAATTGAACTTATAAAGTAGATGATTTGGGAGTAGTTCATATCACGTTACAAAATTTTTTTTTAAACTTAAAACATTCTTTTCCAGTAATATGTTGAGATAATTTTTTCTCCTGGGAAATTTATGTAGTACTACTAAAAACTATGTATCACTTTTTAGGGTCATTTATTTTACAAATTTAGCTATACCATTAGTGGGTAAAAGATACAAAAGTAGGATCCAAATAAGAATTTTGTTTTGTTTTACCTTCTAGATCTTGCCATTGAGAGAATATTCAGAATAAATACTACTTGATATTGATAACTTTTGTTATATAAAAATGTATTATAAGTTATCTTTAATAAAAATGCATTTCATAATTATTCTCTATTTTTGCTATTTTCCATGGTTTCTAACATGCTTGCGTATGCAAGAGTGAGCTTTCACCCATGGACAACCAGAGAAATGTAGGTTATTGCTGCTGTCATTCTCTCTCCATTGCCTGTAGTGTTTCTTTCCAACAAAATCATTTGCCAGAAAAAAATGTAATTTGTTTGTTCTTTCTTGGCAACAGTGATTTGCCAGTTTTTATTTGAATGTTTTTCTTCACTCCTTTTGGGACTTACTCAGTTCTGTAAAGTTGAAAATGAGGGCTGCCCACAGCTCATGCCCATTCCAGGAAAATTTTTTGCTTTACGTGTTTCCTGAATTAAATCTTTTCTGTTTATTTCTATTGCTACAACCTAGGTGGCACTCTCAGCACCTCCTCTGGCACAGGGTCCTGCCATTTCTGCCTCTGGTCTCTTCTTCAGTCTGCTTCATTTCATGCTACATGAAGTATCATTCTGGAACAATCTTCTTACCATATCCTTGACTAGACTCTTCCCTACTGTCTGTTGACTCATCCAATCAAACTTCCCTGCCCAGGTTTTCTAAGAGAAGTGCTTAACTCTGGGCATCTGATTACTACCTGCTTCACTTTCCCTACCATTGACATTCCTTTCTTCTCTTGGCTCATCCCCACAACCTTGATACCTTCAATCTTGCCATCTACCAGAAATCTGCAGTGATTTTTCCTTTTCCTGAATTCTGAAGACAGCATTAATTCACTTATCACCATTTATTGTTTAACTACTATATGTGCACCATTCTGGGCATACACTGCTGAATAAAACTGTTATGATCATTGCTCTTCAATGGAACCATATAAGTTATAGTGGCATTTAATGATTTTTTCATATAGATAAACAGACACTTCAATTGGCTTGGAAGTTTCTTATTGTCGGGGACTATCATGTTAGTTTTATCAAAGAAGGGCAGACAGAGTAAGCTATTGTCATGACTAGACAACCTCAAGATCTACTCAGTAAGTATGAGGCCAAATCATTTAGATTTTCTGCAGAATTCTATTACTTGGTGCGGTCTCTATGAAACTAAAGAGCCCAACATTCAACGTAGAAGAATACACATGCGGCAGCGCCCATAGCTCAGTGGGTAGGGTGCTGGCCACATACACCAAGGCTGGTGGGTGCAAACCCGGCCCCGGCCAGCTAAAGCAACAAGGACAACTGCAACGAAAAAATAGCTGGGCATTGTGGCGGGTGCCTGTAGTCCCAGCTACTTGGGAGGCTGAGGCAAGAGAATCACTTAAGCCCAAGAGTTTGAGGTTGCTGTGAACTATGACACCATGGCACTCTGCCCAGGGGTAACAGCTTGAGACTCTGTCTCAAAAAAGAAAAAATCTACATGCAAATTCCCTCTTTTATACACTAAGCTGTGTCTTGGTAGATTTTCAGAGAAATTTTTATTTAAATACATAATTTGACATTCCTTCTAACAGGTCCTTCAAGTGTTGGAGAACTAACACGTATCACCTTAATGGAAAAAAGACAAAGGAGAAAAGAATAATCTCTGTGGGTTCTATAAGAATTTTAATTTCTTAAAGATTATTGCAGCAGCAGAAAAATAAATAAACACAAAGAGAGAACCCACCCCTCAATAAGGAATACTTAGTTATCAAATAATTAGGAAAAGATAAAAATAAGCTGTAGATACTTTACCTCAAAGTGTAATTAGAATTACCACATGGTCTCTGGCCTGGAAAAATGATGAATCAGATTTCACTTGTCTAGAGGACACATTTTTTTTTTTTTTTTTGCCAACATACAGAATAAAAAGTATTGCATAAAATTTACCAAGTGTGATTTCGCTGTTAAGTGATACTTGTCCTATCCCTAGCAACTTTAAGTCTGTGGCACTGTAAATCCCTAGAAAGGCCTACCTTAAGGGCCACTCAGGATCCTTGTGCTTTGCTTTCAAACTGAGGGTTCCCATGAGGCTCCACTTTGAAGAGAACCAGAGACCTTCTCAGTCTCTGGAGTCATTTAGTCTAACAACCTCTTTGTCTAAACAAGACAAGACAAGGGGGACAGTGGATTTCCCCAAAAGGTCAGGGATGGAATTCAGGGGTGTTGTGATTTTTAGTGGGCAATAAAATAATCATCTCTAATTTCACTAATTTCTAACTGAAATGTAGATAAAAAACAAAATAGTGTTAGCAGTCTCTAGAACTTTTTAACCCATATAAAGGACAAATAGATTCTCATCACATTACAGTTGTTATAATTATTTCAGAATATCATTGATACATATTACTACCTCACAGTCACAGTAGCTATCAGAACTGCCACTAGATCTTATTATTTAATATGTAAATAAAGAAGCACACATATTATTAATTCATTATTTAGAAAAATTTTGATAATCATATTTCAATGCAATTGGCTGCCTTTGTGATCTTATGTATTTTATTTTATGCATTTTAAAATACATGCTGAGAAAGGGTCCATAGACTTCCCCAGACTGCCAAAGAAGTTAAAAGCCCCTAGTTCAATTCTCATTTTTGGCATTTGTTAACTACTCACTTGAAGTTAAAGAAATCGAACATGGGTTTGGAATAGGTATAGACACAATGTGGTGTCTTCCAAACTCTTGGAATTGCTTCTATGTGCCACTCTTGTCAGATGAGTATCCATTTTATTCAAAGGAAGAAGACAGTGCAAACTCCATAAAAACAGTATGTTATTTGAGGTAATAACAATACTAATATGTATATCCTTATTATTTATTAATTAGAGACGGAGTTTCATGCTGTCTCTTAGGCTGGATTTGGACTCCTGGGCTAAAATGATGATCTCCCTGTCTAAGCCTCCTGAGTAGCTGGGACCCCAGGGATGTGCCACCATGCTAAAGCTTTTACCATGTCTGTGCTGATTTTAATCGTTAAAGTCACCCTTGAGGTAACACTATTATATCTCTGTTCTCATTTAATTGTCACACTTCTAAAAGGAAAAAGCAGATCAGATTACACCTGTGTTACAGATGAGAAAACTGAGGTTTAGAAAAGCTGTAGGCCCCATAGTTGGTCGAAGTAAAAAAACAAACCAAAACCTTATCTCCACTTAACAGATGAGAAATAATCTCTGAAAGATTAGGGAAGTCACAGTGTCAGGGCTAGGAGTCCAATTCAGTTTGGTCAGATTCCAAAACCTTGTCTATTTTCCATCATGTAGGGCCTTGCTATTCCTTTCTCCAAGTTAGAGAACTGAAGTTAGAAGTAACACCCCTGCAATTTCCCTTAAGAAAATTGTACTGAGTTGAATCACTGTTATACTCAAGGGAGTGAAAGATAAAGCATTTCCAAAACTTTGGCACAACTCTCAGTCCACTTTTGGGGGTGGGGGAAGGGAGGCCCGAGAGGGGGCTTGTCTTTGGGTATTAGTACTGCTTTCTCCTTCAAGGCCCTGCCTACCCTAGTCACTACGGAGTTCAAAGCCTGCCCTCTTTGTTGACTGTTGTGTACACAACCATTCCCAGATGGGAATGTGTGTTCTAAATCAAGTAATTTGTTATGGGATGGGAACATTATATTATATAGATGTGTTTTTCATATTTTAGGAATAAATCTGATTAGTGGTCAATGCTTGTAAATCTTATTTCTCATTTATACGATGGTAAACTTTTTTATTTGTCAGATTTTGAGGGGCGGAGAAACATTTCCCCCTCACTTCTCATTCTTTTTGTTTTGTAATTTGCTGTTAAACTGTTGTAGAACACAAATCAAGAGCATTTTGTTAATTCCATTACAGAACTAGGCAGTAGTGGGAGTCCTTGCACTTTTAAAAAAATGCCAGCCTTAGGAGGGCTTGGAAAATTGTCCACAGTGTGTCCTCAAACTGCGAGCCCTTGCATGGTAGTATGGGCTCCTACCAATTACTACCCTTCTTTTTTCTGGAAGCTCTCATTTAGTCATTGTGGTAACGCCAGATTTAATCTGTTCCAACTCCAGTGAGATCCATAGTCCCTGATGTTGTTTTTAATTCTCATGTGTTGCCCACTCATTTGCAGACTGTTCTTCTTAACCCATGTTTAAGCTTTGTGTACCAATTAGTTTTTCTTTAACCGTAATAATAAAACTGTAACTTACAAAATCATGCATATTTAAATCTATCTTTTCAGGACATTTTCTTATCAGATCTATTTTAAGAGCCTTTTGTTGTTCAACTTTTTTTCTTCTTCAAATTCTTGCTATCCTTTAACAGTTAATCTGTATTTAAGTGTTATTTTAGTGCTCAAAAAAACTCAAAGCAACTGTAAACTCTGCAACTTTGGTTTCAAAAGCTAACTTTTAAACAATATGAATGTACTCTTCCCACCCCTCCTGCCAAAAAAAAAAAAAAAAGCTTTATCTCAGTCAACTTTCTTAAAAATCCAGGCAAATATTCTTGTATTCATGAATTATATTCACTCAAAATGTAGTTAGGCATTATCTGGTAGTTTCCTACCACGGTAGTTTCCTTTTATCAACAGGGAGTGAGTTAACAATAAAATTAAACTGTTGAAGCTCTGCAAGGAGAAAAGATTAATTCACAGTTTTACTTTGTCATAGAGGCTTAAGAAAGATTGGAGAGAACAACTGAAGGGTAGTTACTTTCTTTCCTCTCTTGCCTTGTCTTTTTAGGTACTTCCACAACTTACAGAATCTTAGTTTGGCTTATTGCAGAAAGTTCACAGACAAAGGCTTACAGTACCTGAACTTGGGGAACGGATGCCACAAGCTCATCTATCTGGACCTCTCCGGCTGCACCCAGGTTTGTCTCTCAGTCTTCCCTTTGCTGCAGCGGGCGAGGAAGTCCTCCCGAGAACGGGCTGCATCCAGCCTTCATGATATACTAATGCTGTGCACGGACCGCAGCACACTTTTCAGAGGTTTTAAATTACACGGCCACAGCTGCTGAATTTTTCCTCAGGATCGCTACTATAGGCTCTTGGCTTCTTTCCACTGGAGTGTCACATAGACAAGCAGGCAGAGCTCATTGGATGAGGGAACAGAACACTTCTGTGGAGACAATCTGAGCACAATTCTAATCCCAGAGCACAAATCTTAAAAACTCTGGAGTTACTCCCAAGATACAAACAAAGGAAAAACTTTCGGGGAGAATTTGTACAGGATTCCTGAAAAGTCAGTTAGCTCCCACGTGGGCTTTTTTTGGGTAAAGTGTTGATAAATATGAGAAAGGAAATACAACAAAGATTGTAATTTAAAAAATTGCATTGCATCTTTGGGCTAAACAATTTGAAGGTTTGAGATCTACTTGGAAAATATTTAAGTTTAGAAAAAAAGGATTAGGGAAGTTGGGCAGAAAATAGCATAAAGTTGTGGAGGGTAGAGCCTGGCACTTTGGAAACAGTTACTGCTTTATTGATAGTGTTTTGTGCTCTAATTTTGATAGTTTTAAAAAATTTTGATTTAAGCTGTAATTCTTTTAACTTATTTTCTGTGTGTATTTTATTGACATTGAGGTTATAGTATGTTCATTCTCCTATAAGAATACCATAGCACAGGTGAGAACTGGCTGAAGTATTGATGGTTACCATTTATTGAGTCATTACCCTAGGCCAGGCATTGTGTTGAGTGCTATACAAAGATCAGATTTTCTCCCTATTCAATGCTATGTAGTATGGATTTATTATGCTTATTTGGAATTGAAGAGTCCAAGGTTCAGTGCGGTTGAATAAATTGCCGAAGGTCATACAGCTGGTGAAAGCTTATGGGTACATGGAGCGGGTAGTTATAAGTACCTGCTGGTAGATGCATATGCAGGCAAAGTTCCCTGGGGCAGCAGTAAATGCAGGAGCAGCACAAGCTTCTCCTCCAGGTTCTTGAACAGACAGAATTCCCACCTAGCCGTTACCACTGGTATACCATGGTTTCCTGATGCACTACACTGCTAGGTGGATGTCTGGAGGGACGGCTCTAAACTAGGGCTGAAAAATTATTTGAAACTGACCTACTGAGGTATAGCTTGCTAAACACCAACATCTACCACAGCTTTGCCACTAAAGTGGCCTTGATGTTGCCCTCAGCTTGACTGACTTTAGATAGGCTTCTTCCCGACTCTTGGCCCCTGACCTCCCTTTTCTTACAACAGTTGCTTTAGAAAACTTGGAATTGTAAATTCTTTCTCTGCCTCCTTTGAGACATTTTTTAAAAGAGCTTCTTTTGTGTTTTCTAATACTGGAGTGTCTTCCCCAAGGACCTGGAACTATCCCTTTGATGAATAACCAAAGAAGATAGTATCTCATCTTTCAGTCTCTGTGGGTGGGTAGGAGCCTAAGTTTAATGGACACCAGTTAGCCAAGCAGATGGCCTAATCATAGAGAAGAATATTTGCAAATCCAGGGATAGCTCAATGTGCTGACACAGGCCATTGATCAGCAACCCCTCCCCCATCTCTGTAAGTCTCCTGACTTTCCTGTTAGCTCTCACCAGTGCTGAAAACCCTGCCCATAGTATAACTCTGCTCCTTACCCTGCTCAGTTCCCACAAGGTAATTATTTCAGCAGTAACATATAATGCATGTACAGATGCACAAACACACAGGTCCTTCGGATACATTTTCTCAGGCACTTCACTGTGTCTGAAGGTTTCAAATCTATGATCCACTGCCCAGATAGGCATTCAAAACACCCGTCTTTAAAAATTTTGAGCCAATATTCTTGGCTCAAATACTCCAATATCCTTGGAGTTTTTACATAACAATCTAAATTTCAAGCTCTTAAAGAATTGGAAGAACTAGCAGAACTGGACCTGCATTCCCTTCCGGCGCAGTGGGCTAGAGCTGCATCAGCCTCACTGTGGTCAGTGTGCCAGCGTCTCCTGCACTCAGCAGTGTCTGCACATGCACTCACACCACGCCTGCTACCATTCCATTGCATTGCCTGCCTGACCTTAACAAGTATCCGAGTTCCTAACATATAAAGTAGAATTCTTTCTCTAATTGCTCCTCAATTTCTAAGTCTCAAAACACAATGAAGTTATGGTATTTTACATCATTATGCAAAGAAGTGTTACTTTCTTTCATCTATCCTCTTCCACTTCCATTCCCTCATTTAATAACTCAATAGAGGTTTAACTCTAAGTGTCAGGCACTGTTTCAGGCCCTAGAAATTGTGCCATTTGAAACAGAGGCACTTTAGTCTCACTGGGGGTAAGAAATGGGCTCATTATGAAGCATGGATATCTTATTTACGGCTGCTGTGTTGTAACAAACCCTTGAAGCTTGGATGTTATGCTTCTGAGAGATTTACTAAGTCTGATGATGAGCTTCTGTCTACCTCCCTACCTCTGGGTGTGGTACAAAAATTGTTTCAAAGAAGAAAAATTGGTGATTCATAGATTTTTTTTAAAAGGTTTTTCCCTCTTTAAGTAAAACATTCTGTCTTGGAAAATAGAATTTTTTTTTCATAAATTTGGAATTTTGTACTAGGAAGTTATATGTTAACTATCTAACCAAGAGAAAGGGTCCTGATAAAACAAAAAGACTTGCGAATAGGAGCTTTTACCTAACTGCTTTTCACTGGTGTTTGTTTCATGCCTGCTGATACTTGGCACCGTGATGAATAAAACAGCATTCCTTGTCTTTCAAGAGCTCTGGATTAACATAAACAAAATATATGAAGGGTTCAACTTTAATGTAGTCACTGCTGCCTAAAAAAGGAAACATTTATTTTTTCAGTATCGTGAAAGAATTTTAACCATACTTGTTAGAAAAAAAAATAAATGATGATGGAGAGCTGCAATGAAAAGTGGAAATGAGTTTCATATGTTCTAGAAGTACTCTACATTCTTTGGGGATTGCATAAACACTGTAGGTACGTTAAGTAACGTGAATGCTTTTCTAATGAATATCAAAACTTGCAAATGTACTTGTGTGTCGTCATCCTTGATGTGGTAGAGGTGATGTCTTTGCTCAGTTTCCTCTCAAAAAAGCCTCTGCTTACCCTTGGCCACAACTCAGGGTAAGTGCCCACCAGTGAGCTCTTTCAGTATCCATTTCAAGCCTCTGGCCTCACATTTGTCACTTTGAATTATCTTTTTATACTTTTAAAAACCTTTGATTTTTTTCTTGCTCCATGTTAAATGCATAAAAATTTGAAAATATATATAAGAGAAAAGAAGAAAAATTTAAAAATACCAGTAATTTCACTGCCCAGAAATAATAAATGCTACTAGTGTTTTGGGATGTAGCTTTCTGGTCTTTTTCCTGTGTGTATCTACACTTCTTTTAAGCTAAAATGGATTATATGGTACACATACTTTTTATTTAATATTCTATAAAGTTACTATTTTTCTATTTTATTACATATTTTTCTGTGACTCACTTTTAGTAGCTGTATAGTATTCTATTATATCAAAATATCATTAAACCATTTATTATTAGCCTACATTTTTGCCACCATAAATAACTTGTGAGGAAAATCTTTGTGGCCATATCTCTACATACATCTATGTAATTTTTTGGTACAAATTTATAGAAATGAAACAGGGAATGTAATTATTTTAAGGCCATCTATATTCCACAAAACCTGTCAATATAAAATAATGTTCAGCATTTTCATAAATATAGTATGGTATATTAAAAAAAATTGTCAACTTGATATTGGAAATGACATTTAGTATTTTTAATTTGCATTTCTTTGGTTACTTGTATGGTTAAATGATATGCAGTGCCTGACATGTTATTCCAACAATCTTCCAGGTACTCAACACTGGGAAAAATAAATTCTGTGTTCCCTGTGGTTATAGGGCCTAACAGGCGTCCTCAAACTATGGCCTGCGGCTGAGGACATTTATCTAGCCCGCTGGGTGTTTTTGCCACTGCTGCCTATCCTGCTTAGTAGCCAACTCGTCCCAGGGCCCACAGTCCAGCCCTCCAACGGTCTGAGGGACAGTGAACTGGCCCCCTGTTTAAAAGTTTGAGGACCCCTGGCCTAGAACATATACGTCTAGGTGACCTTGTAGTTTTCTTCCCCAGCAACACAGAGGAAATTTGTCCACAGTGGGAGGGAAAGAAATGATCATAAAGAAGCCAGCCTTTGAAAGGGAGAAGTGATGTGTTTGAGAAGGAGAAACAATGTACTATATAATTGGACATTCAACTGAAGACACCATTAATTCCCATTCTACCTAAGCTAACTTATATTGGGTCTCCATAATTGCAACCGAAAGAAATTACTACAACTCTGATAAGGCTGTCATTCATATTTAGTTTTCATTTAGGCTCAAAAAGAATATATCTGAATGTGCTTTGTGGAGAGAACCTTACTTAAGAAAAAAACTGAGAGAGCTGGGCATTCGTGGCTATACGCCCATATACCTGTAACTGCAGCACTCTGCGAGGTCAAGGCGGGTGGATTGCCTGAGCTCACAGGTTCCAGACCAGCCTGAGCCAGAGTTAGACCCCGTTTCTAAAAATAGCCAGCTGTTGTGGCGGGCTCTTATAGTCCTAGCTACTCGGGAGGCTGAGGCAAAAGAATCGCTTGAGCCCAAGAGTTTGAGGTTGCTGTGAGCTATGACGCCATGACACTCTACCAAGGGTGACAAAGTGAGACTCTGTCTCACAAAAAAAGAGAAGAAAAGAAAAGAAAAAAACTGAGGCCCAAGAGAAGTTGTGAAGGTTTATCACAGCTCCTCACATGCATATATTCTATGATGTACCTGAATGTGTTGCTTTGAATGTGCTTGTGCCTGACCACAAAGCAATAGTTAATACCCAAGAAGCTAAATTAAATCTGCTTCTTGTTTTGC